ACCTCTCTCCTTGAAGTTCTTGATGATCCGGTAAATGGTTCTTTCAGGTGCAATATTCTTTGTAGCAATTTCCTTGCATGTGAGGCCATTTTGATGCAAAGCGATGATGGCTGCACGCGTTTCTTTGGAGGTAACCATTGCGAACAAGAACACAATGATCGGAAGCGCTTCTTCCCTCCTTTTATAGCAATCAGTCTGCTCTTACAATCTAATTAGTATGATAGTGATTAGTACTGACTAGTACTCATTTACACTTTCACATGTGCTGCTGATATGATTAGTCAATTAATGTTAGCTGGTCATTTTGTGTCAGGATCAAAAAACTGTGAAATTTGTTTTTTTGTGAAAAGTAAATTTTTTGGCCAATGAAGCTTTTAGCAATTATTCAAAATGCATCTGATCACTCTACACAATAATCTAGAAACAAACAATGTGAACACCACAACAGCTTAAGCAGCAAACTTTGCAAAACACAAAATGTATGTCACTGCCAAAACTTTTGGCCATGACTGTACACATACAGGATTGCAGAACCTGCCCTGATCATGTATGTCAAACTGTGTGTGTGTGCGTGAGAAAGAGAGTACACATTTCAATTTATGAATGGTGTTATGTGTTGTGTTTGTTGCACATTTTGATGTCTTGATGACAGGGGTAGGGGGCTCCCATTTAAAGTACTGTGACTCAAGGCCAGCCATTTTCACCATCACAATGGATGATAGCATTCTGTCCCAAGCCAAACTGTTCCTAGTTTTGGTTTTGTTCAAACCCACCATGGAGAACACTGTGCATCTGCATTTGAGTGGGGAAGCCACAGTGCTTTAAGTGGGAGCCTTTTACCCCCGTCCTAATCCCATCTTTGGTCCTGATGGACAGCCTCGCAAGGAAGAGCAGAGTTGGTCTGAGTCCCAAATTGTACAGTTCCATCATCACCCGTCGATATTTAGAACGTTGTGCCACCACTTTGGCCGGATAGTCCTCGCCACAGGGCGATATGGCCCTATATGGCCCACAGGGCTCTCAAGTCTCACGCATTCACCGTGAGACACGTGCATTTCAATCAGCTCACACACTCACACGCCACACCTTGTATTTCACGAACAGTTGTATAAACACGAACAGATCAAGGTAGTATTTTATTTAACAGTGATATATAGATAAACAATGTTGCTAATTTTAAATCATGCTGCTGCTACTCCAAAAAAAAAAAGCTAGAAAATTATAGCATTTCACAACAAGTTTGAACAAATACTTTGTTTGACCACTTCTAAAAGCACAAACTTCATCACTACAAGTATTGTATGATCCACTTAGATGAAACAGCTCTTTTGATTTTTTTGTGTGCATTATTTATTTTTCTCACTGTGACAACTTTGGGCAATGCTTTTTTATATGATTCAGCAGTGCACTTGACTGACAGAAGGCTCTCCCACATGAAGGGCAAAAATGTATGGCTTCACTCCTGTATGAATTCTCTCATGTTTCTTCATAAATCCTGACTGTGAGAAACTCTTTCTGCAGTGTGTACAATTGTAAGGTTTCTCTCCAGTGTGAAGTTTTTGGTGGTCTTTCAAGTGGCTGGCTAAATTAAAGGAACTCCCACACTCAGAGCACACATGTGCTCGCACATTGGCATGTCATTTCTGGTGCTCTTTAAAATGGTCCATATGTGAATAACTCTGTCCACAAATGGAGCACAAGTATGGCTTATCATTTGTATGGATTCTCAGGTGTGCTGCAAACATAAATGTTTTGCCACACTGATCTCAGTAAAACGCTCTTTCTATAAAAAATTATTGGTGGTTATTACTTTCTTATTATTATTATACTTAAATCATAAAAAGCTATCTAGCAGTCCCACCGACTCAGTAATAATTACAGCCTCTGAAATGCACTGTTCACTGATATTTTGAAAAATGTTTTTTGTCCATACAATGGGATCTAGTGATGGTTTTTAGGATACCACTCATTTGAAATAAAAACATCTTCAAAATAATTTGCACTCTGCATGACGAAAGTCATACAGATTTGGAGCACCACGAAGTGACATCAATTATGAGTTTAATTTCTAGGTAAACTATCTTTTAAGCTCCCTTTATATACAATAATAAAGCAGTCACAGGCACACACAAAAATGAAAGTAGAAGCAAATACACACAAAACAACATTGTTTATTCTCACAGAACCACAGTAAAACTCCAAATGAGAATGTTGGAGTCCCTGCTTTAACATGCGGATGAACAATGCCAGCAATGACCGCTCAACCACTTGATCTTCTTAAAAGCATGAACAAGAAAAGGCACCACTTTAACGAGTTGCAAATCCCAGTTCATTGTTTATGAATTTTCATATGATTGGGTCAATTGTGAAAGTTAACAGCTATTAACACAGTGATCTGGACATTTTCACCTTCATTTTTCAGGCAAATACCTGCATCAGTGTGTGCCTGTGCTTTAGTCTTATTTTCAAAGACAACAAAAATGTGGGAAGAGCCATGAATGTTTTTGTTAAACAACAGTAATGATTTCAGACTTTATTGAGCACCATGTAGGATATAGTCTGTTGTTAATACCCACATTGGCCACCTCAACACAATCCGCCTCATTATCCAGTCCTGCTCATCACTCTCCCTGAGAAAATATGACAGTGATCTAACAGCACCCGCTGCCTGACTGTTGCACCGGGGTGCTTTCAATTTTAAGATCAGGTTTCTCTGAACCCCCTGAAGCCCCCGGCCTCATGCGCTTCTTTATCTCCTCTGCCATGGTCATGAAGGCCTGCTCCACGTTCGTGGCATTTTTGGCACTCGTCTCAAGGAAAGGGATGCCAAGAGAGTCAGCAAACTCCTGAAAAAAAGTGTTGGAGAAAGAAGAATGGTCTTTCTGTAGAGAATAGTGTTTTCTGTTAATGTAAGTTAATGTATAACTATAAAGTGTTTGATGTTGAAATGACATAGCTTACCTCACTAATAGATCCTCTGCAGTGAATGGGTGCCGTCAGAATGAGAGTTTGAAAATAAAACATCACATTAATCCACAAGTTATCCAGACAAGACGACTCTTTCCCTGGGGGAAGCATTATTAAGGGTTATTAAGTGGTATTTTGGCCTGAAGCAATGGTTTAAAAGTTAAAACATCTTGATGAATATCTTTCTTACAAACAAACAGTTTTTCACTTCAGAAGACATTAATTGATGAACTGGAGTCGTGTGGATTACTTGTGGATTATTGTGATGTTTGATCAGCTGTTTGGACTCTCATTCTGACGACACCCATTCACTGCAGAGGATCCACTGTTGAGCAAGTGATATAATGCTAAACCTCTCCAAATCTGTTCAAATGAAGAAACAAACTTATCTACATCTTGGATGGCCTGAGGGTGAGTTAATTTTCAGCTAATTTTCTCTTTGAGTGAACTATTTCTTTAACTAGTCTAAAAGGAAGTTCATTATTTTCCTACCAACCAACCTTAGCTGTAGTGTAGTCCACAACTTTTTTTGTAGTGAGGTCACACTTATTTCCTACAAGTAGTTTGTTGACATTCTCACTTGCGTAGCGATCGATTTCTTTCAGCCACTGTTTCACATTGTTGTAGGACTCCTGAAAAAACACCAGCATTAAACTTTTAAGAATGTGTGCAGTTGTGATAACATTTGAGAGGTAAACCTTTATTTTACTAAGCAGCAGCCATAAATGTTTCAAGTATAGATGTGAATTTTTTAGAAAGGAGTCTCACAAACCTGATCCGTGACATCATACACAACAATGATCCCATGAGCTCCTCTGTAGTAGCTAGATGTAATCGTGCGGAATCGCTCCTGTCCAGCGGTGTCCCACTGGAAACATTTACATGTCTCATTTAACAGTAGATTGACATTAAAAGGCACACTTAAGATGAATTCTAAAGTCTACAAACTCACTATCTGCAGTTTAATAGTTTTCCCATCCAACTCAATAGTTCGGATCTTGAAATCCACTCCGATCGTGCTGATGAAACTCTCTGTGTAGGTGTCGTCCTGGAAAAGAAAAATCAGTCATATTTCTAACACCCGGTCAGAGATCATTCATATCCAAAAATGCTGTTAAAAAACAAACACTTACTGCAAAACGCAATAGAATGCAAGATTTTCCGACTCCAGAATCTCCAATCAGAAGAAGCTTGAATAAGTAGTCACTGTGAAAATATGGAAAAAAAAAATACAGTTCTGAGATGTTCATTTTATATATAAAATATATTATTCATATAATACTAATATTAAATACTATAATATAATTTTATTTATAATTATTTCATAATAATGTTAATATAATAATAGTTAAATTATATATATATATATATATATATATACACACACATACATATATACATATATATATATATATATATATGAATATACCTATCATACTTTTATTTACAGAGCAGCTATTGTGCAGTCTGCAACCATGACAAATGCTATCAGTGCCAACCATAACACAATTCATACTATTTGCTATTTAATTATTACATAAATTGAACAGCAACTGCATAGGAAATTTGGTTGACCTGCCAACAAAAGGTTAAAGGAAATTATGAGAGGTCATAAATGTTCATAGTTCTGTTTTCACGACTTACTATTCAGGGTTCATGATGTGACAGCAAAGGGATTGTTATTGTTTGTCCAGCTGGTAGAAGCGCTCTGGGCCGCCTACTGTTTACCGGCTGACCGCAAACTCTGAGCCAGTGTTTAGCCTGGAATAGTAGCAATAAAAAGAGGATCTCTGAGTTTTGATAAGCCTTTGTGGACCGTTTCCAGACTTCCTTGTAAAATCAACCCAGTCTGACTTTACGGCTCGTCTCTCCTCTCTTCTCTGGTTTTACAAGCCGCGCAGGAGCGGCAGTGACGGATGATGATGCGCCGCTATTCTGATCTGCTTTCGCCGTCTAGTGGTGGGATCCATGCATATGTAATTTTGTGCAGACGTTGCCAGAATTCAGAAAACATGTTAAATAAACGGTAATGTAAAGTTTGCTTGTGCTTTGTGATTATAAAATATGTTGATTTTGTAGATGAGCTGATATATACACAGATAAAACGTCTGTCTGTGTGGTGTTTGCCCTGTAAGACAAACCGCCAAGGCGTTTATATGTGGTTGCTTGAGGTTTATGTGTGGCTTATATATAAAATATTACATTTTTATTTACATTATAAGCTAATTAAATGTGTGTGTGTGTTTACTCCCCTCCCATGTTTTAGGCAGAAAAAAACATAGATTAAACAGAAATTCAAACAGCATCAAACTTTATTGAATAAAACACCCTAAATCTTAAAATAGGAATGAATAACACATTTAAATATCAAAAAGAGTACAGATGGACAAAATACTTTTTGTATATCTATAAAACAATCCTTAAATATTTTATTTTGAATGAGCTTTTAAGGTTTAAAACAGAAAATACAGAATGGCTTCATTTTATATAAAAAGCCCCTTTTCAAAAGGTATTAAACCTCTAAAGGCACTGCAATGCAAAAGAACGTTATGAATACATTAATTTGAAGACATTGTCTGATGAAACATCAGAGAATACAATTTGCAGATAAGACAACGGCCCAACAGAGACGTTTTGGCATACCAGGAAACAACACACTTAAATAAATAATGTAAAAACAGCACACTTTGGCGCAAGTCTCTTTGTCTGTTCGATATACCTTAAAGACAGTCAAATCGTCTCAATCCTAAACATTACATTTCCCCCCCAAAAAACATTACAAACATTACAAAGAAGAGAAAACCCTGCTTGCCTGCTCAGATTGTACGAAATTGAGCAATGTTTTATTTGCTTCAGGAAAAAAAAATCCTGACTAAGGTTGTGGGACAGAAGTCTCAATAAATATTGGAGGATATTGGATTTCTTGCAACCTACAGCAGTGTGCAGGATTCTTCCCTTTTCTTATTATTTCTTGTGTTCAGTTCAACTGTCTGCAACCATTCAGGTGTGTGAAGGCTGTTTGTTTATTGTCCAATAAAACAATAAAGACCTTCTTTCAGATTTTAAGATTTAAAGTAATATTGCTTAAAATACTAAACTCTCGACCAGTAAAACCTGGGAAAACCTTCAAAACATTGTGCAAACTTTCAATGAATAACTTGTCTGATCTAGACTGGACATGATTTATATCCCACTGAGATGTCGCTGAGATCTTTAAGATGTTGTGAGAAAGGGTTTCACGTTTAAGCCAAATGTCTTTGAAAGTTAAAACAAGGCACACTAATGTCCTGGTGTAGTCCAAGTCATTTAGGATCGTCTCTGGTGCAGTGAGCCACAGCTTTCATGAGAATTCAAGTTTCTTTATTGAAGAACACACTTTTCCTTATTGCTGTATTTTCTACGCCTTGCCTCCAGACCTCTCTCCAGTCTCTCATCCTCCTCCAAAGCCCTGCACATACAAAATACATTCAGTGCATGAGTCTAATTTCCAGTGCAACAAAACACACTGTGACTAGACTCACCCTCTCTCTTTTGCATCCATGTCTCTGACCAGCTCGTCCCGCTTGTTGACCAGTGACACCAGTTCCTGTAGCAGTAGCTGTTCTCTGTGCTGTTGGGCCTTAGTTTTCTGCCAGTCTGATGGATGAAATATGGATATTAGTGATATGATTGTACAGTGATGAAATACTGCTTCAGCCATAGAGGAAATAGGTAGGTAAAAGTTAAAAGCATTAATAGACCAATATATGGGCCAAGCTGATGTTCTTTCTTCCACTTTGGCAGAATCCACATTAACATTGGTATTAATTACATTTGGAACCTGCAAACTTTTCACTTTTTTGTTGGTTTTAGGAGTACAATCTGAATTTACATGACAAATGAAAATATGGAATGTGTGGAATACAGATGCACAATATATCGGTAGCATACAGGCTGATATTAGATAACTGAATAATTAACTATGTTCATTATTTTTACATTTATATTACCTTGGCTGCTCAAGTTATGCTTTAAAAACACTACTTTAATAGTTAACAGATAACACGGCTTACCTTCAGTAGCCATCATCGCTCTGAGCTCTCGAGTTAGCAGCTCAAATCTTCTTTCTAAATCCTGCTCTTCTTGCCTGCAAGGATAACATCATGAATATTTATTGATGCAGCTGACATTGTGTCTTACATATCAATACATACAGCAGCTCCAGATGGTCTTGTCTCCTGATCAGAGCATTCTTCTTGTTGACCAGAGTGAACCATTCCTCAATCAGCTTCTCTTCTTCATCTTTATCACTTCCTGTTAAAGAGATAATGTGGCATATCATGCTGTATTTCAAGAGTTAATTTGAAATCGGCTTCATTCTCTCCTTCCCTCTATATGAGTGTTTTTCTTACCCGTCTCCATGAGCTTTCGGAGTCTTTTCTCCACGACTGCAGCTCTGCTGTCTATGTGCTTCTGTTCGGTTTCCAGGGCCTGAAGTTCACTCAACACATACTGATTGGTGTCCTGCAGACACTGGCCAGGAAGTACCACAGGGAGACATACATAAAACCAGACGAGCAATACAGACAGAGAGAGGAAAAGACAGTGAAAATGAATGAAGATTGAGCGAAAGAGAGATGGATAGAGCCAGATACAGAGAATAAAAGACCAACATTGATAAGACAGAAGCAGACAATGGCGTACCAAGATAATGGAGAGGAGAGGAAAGGACAGGCTTGATTTAACTAAAAGATTTATAAAAACAAGGAAATTAAACATGGGATGGTAAGAGCTTGCGAGTCAGGGGCCGGATTCTGAAAATTCTTGTTAAGAATTTCATAAGAATGTTTTTGCAATTCTGGAAATTCTGGATTCTGAATTCCTTTTTTTTTCTTAAGCAGAAAATGACAGGCTTTGGTGTTATTTGACGGGTATAGGCAAAGTTTCATTGATGACATTGATGACAACATGAAATGTTAAGATATGTTTTTGGGAATACAAAATATTCATAACCTTAATCTTAAGTTAGAAAACAGGAAAAAAAAGCAGTTTTATTCTTAAGAATGTTTCACAAATCTGGCCCCAGAATTAGAGAATTATGATGATTATTGTAAACTCAGAAAGATATTTTCTAAATATTTGACGTGCAAATTGGCACATTTAGTTTTAATTTGTTTTCTTTGAGGTTTATCCAGAAATTACACTTGATGAAAGACAAAACACTCCAATTGTCTCAAATACCGAGGGCATACTGACCATTGTCTCATTATCTGCTGATTTAACATCTTGGTTTGCTTCCTGAGGTTCTGCAAACACATTAAATGGCAAAAAAGTGTAAATCAGAGTGTAAAATACCAAATCTTTCCAAATTCAATCATTTTTTTTGGATATTAGGAAGCTGTTGAGGAAGGTTACCAGTTTCAGCACTTTCTCTGGCAGCTGTTGAGCCATTAGTTCCTTCAGCTGTCAGTTCACCTTTATCTGACTGTCGGAGGTTAGTAGAGAAAAGACAATTAGATCAAATATTAACACACATAAATGCAAGGGAAGGGTAAAGTTGATGTCTTTTACCTCCTTTGGCTGCTCCTTCGAATCGGTCTCATCCATGGATTCGCTCTTCAGTCGCGACCGCCGTTTCTTCACCAGATCCGCATCTCGTATGTGGCCAAATCCTGATCTGGAAGCCGCTGAGTTTGATCGTGGCGGGGCCACAGGAGTCTGCGCTCCTCCCTCTGTCTCCTTACTGCCCATCTCTTCCACCTTTCCTGCACGTTTAGTCCGAGGTGGAGGAACAAGAGCTCTGTTTGGCTTAGCCGCAGTGTCACTTCCCTCCTCTCCCAGTGAGTCCTTGCTGTTGCTGTCTCCTGACAGAGCTCCAGCTTGGAGCCTCTCTGCACAGAATTTGGCTGCTGCTTGTACATCCGGCCCTTGGCTTGGCCTGGCTACTGCATAGCTGGACTGACTGTTGTTCTGCTCTATCTGTAACACACTCAGCTCCTGCCCAGTGAAGTGTGCACGGATTTGGCACAAGTACGTCATGACAATCAAACGATCTGGCACAGAGAGAAGCACCATGTCTGAGGGCTCCAGCAGACGAGAGATTCCCAGTGTTGCAAACCCATCAAAAGCCTAAAAGAGAAGCAAAAATGGGTAGCACAAATGATAAGGTTTGAGTTTATAGTTAAAAAATATCTTTATGTGGCACAACTGCTTAAACCAAACTTACAGCTTTGTTATTTTGCTTTATGTTGTGAGGCTCCAATGCATCAAAGTCACTGAAAAACAACAACTAAGTCAATACACAATAACAAATATTTCTTTTATGATTAATTCCAATTATTTCAGTAATAATTCTCATATTATGAACAATAATAGGCTATAAATGTACAATACTGAAATTCTAAATGATGTTTAAATAAATGTATATGAATAAAATGCTTTTATTTTATTTATTTTTTTGCAATTATTTTAAGTTTATTTAGGTACCACAACATTGTATTGTAAAGTATGAACAATCATATTATTTTTTTTATACAATTTTGCTAAATATTACATTTAACAGTATAATTAAAATATTATTAAAAAAAGATTTTAGGAGAGTGATGGCAAAGGTAAATTAAATTTAAAAAGGAGCAAATTAACATCAACAATTAAATATCTAATATCAACCAATTTCTGTAAATGAAAATATTATTCATTAAATGATATGGTACAGATACAATGTGTATCACTGATTTGTTTGTACTTGAAGCAAATCATATTTTTTTAGGCTTGTGCACATAAATTGAATCATACTAAGAAATAATGAGTTTGCTTTGAGCTAGGAATGAATGACATAAATCAGAAACTCACATTATCTCAGGGTGGAAGTGATGTAAGATGGCACAGAATGCCAGGCCGTTACGCCAAGAGGTGCTGAAGTTTGTGATTTTTACTCCCTTATAGTTTTTAGTGATCTCTTGACACCACTCCAGCAAGGACTGACTGGAGGTCACCAAACCAGGACTGGGCAGTGGACTGGCAAACTGTATAGTGACAAATGGAAAGACAAACAAAACAGTGTTAGACAGCATTTAGAAAAAGTGATAAATAGTCTACATTTTTACAGGTACTTTACATATAAGACAAATTCCACATACATCCCATCCAGGCACTGCTGAACCCTCTTTAATGGATTCATCCATTGTTTTTACTATTGCAAGGTCCATTGGTGGTGGAATTATTTTCTTTTTACTGCGCATTGGAGGCACAATCACATGGGATGAGTCTGCAGTGGTCTGGCCGTTAACCTGCATGCTGCCTGGGCTCCTAGATGGCGTCTTGCTCCCTTTAGCCTCTGGGGTTACATCAGAGGACTCCTTTTCCTGAGGATGACCAGACCTATCAAAAGGACAGAAACTGTTATACATACTGACATGACTTACAAATTTTGCCCTGTTATTATAAATACACAATTTCTCATCATTAATTTTGTTTCACATGGTTTTGAATTTAAATGTCAAATTCAGTGTTAAAGTGAAAATTAAATTGTTCTGCTAGGGCTTCCCGTTCTGCAATGCTTAGGACATTTTGGGTTGATTTGAGGTTAATGAAAAGACATGCAAATATTATTACACTACTGCTCAGAAGTTAGTAAGGCGTTACATATACATATAGATATGTAAGATTTTAAAGAAATTAATACTTTTATTCAGCATTAGGATGCATTAAATTGATCAAAATTGACAGTAAACATTCATAATGGTATTCATTAAAAAGAAGTCATAAACAAATAATTTTCTATTCGAAACTTTTTTATTCTTCAAAAAATCCTGAAAGAAAAAAACATACCACAGTTTCCAGCAGCACAAATGTTTTTAGCATTTATAATAATAAGAAATGTTTCTTGAGCACCAAATCAGCATATTAGAAAGATTGGAGTAATGGCTGCTAAAAACTCCGCTTTGCCATCACAGGAATAAATTACATTTTAAAATCAAACAAATTCAGCCGTGATTTGACTTCTTTCAAAAACATAAAAAAATCTTACCAACCCCAAACTTTTGAACGGTAGTGTAAATTGTGCAAAGAGGTGTCAAATTTTAGGCATCAAACTTTAAAGCTGTAGATGACGTTCCAGACTTTAAAGGAACACTCCATTTTTCCTATTTAAAACTTGACTCTTCTGTAGTTACATCGTGTACTAAGACCGACAGAAAATGAAAAGTTGCGATTTTCTAGCCCGATATGGCTAGGAACTATATTTTAAACAGGAAAAATATAGAAACTCTTTGGTCATTTTTGAGCGAGATGCTAACGGTCTAATCAGATTCAATGATCTATGCTAAGTTAAGCTAAAAGTGCTACCGCCAGACCCAGAAATGTTTCTTGAGCACCAAATCAGCATATTAGAAAGATTGGAGTAATGGCTGCTAAAAACTCCACTTTGCCATCACAGGAATAAATTACATTTTAAAATCAAACAAATTCAGCCGTGATTTGACTTCTTTCAAAAACATTAAAAAATCTTACCAACCCCAAACTTTTGAACGGTAGTGTAAATTGTGCAAAGAGGTGTCAAATTTTAGGCATCAAACTTTAAAGCTGTAGATGACGTTCCAGACTTTAAAGGAACACTCCATTTTTCCTATTTAAAACTTGACTCTTCTGTAGTTACATCGTGTACTAAGACCGACAGAAAATGAAAAGTTGCGATTTTCTAGCCCGATATGGCTAGGAACTATATTTTAAACAGGAAAAATATAGAAACTCTTTGGTCATTTTTGAGCGAGATGCTAACGGTCTAATCAGATTCAATGATCTATGCTAAGTTAAGCTAAAAGTGCTACCGCCAGACCCGGAGATCGGCTGAATGGATTCAAAAACGGTAAAACTCAACTGTTTAACTCTAGGGGAATTGGAAAATGAGCCTATTTTCAAAAATAGTGGAGTGTTCCTTTAAGTCAAATAATATAATATGGCAAAATACAATTTAATTTTAGACTTTACACTCCACTCAGACTTACAATTCATCAGGCACTGGAGATGGTGGTCTATCCTGCTCTATTTGAGCCTCTTCACTTCTATCAACACTTAATTCTGGTTCTTCCTTGTTCTCAGTTTCAGCTTCTGTTTCTGTGTTCTCTGTCTGGTTTGTGGGCTTAACAGCTGGTGTATCTTGGCACTCCCTTTCAGCTCCCATACATTCCAGCTGAATATTTTGTTCTTGCTTGTTTAACTGGACATTATCATCTAAAACAGCATTTCTAGCATTGGCTTCTCTGTGGCTATCATCTATCTTAATGCTCTCCAGTGGCACAGAGGGAGTCTGAGACTGACTGATGTCAACCTTCTCATCTATCTGCTCTGGAGAAATCACTGACGGTGGAGGTCCGAGTGTTTTTGTAATCTCAGTCTGATCTAAATATGGCCTCATCTCATCCACAGGTGGTTTCATGCTAAACTTTAGTTGCATGGGAGGAGATGGAGGAAGTTCAAAATCAGACTCGCAGGGGATCAAACGTTTTTTAGTGCGTGGAGCAGGAGCTGACGGCTGTGTCGCCTCTTCTTCGGCCATCTGACGAATCTTTGCTAACAGAATGCTCTCCTCCGAGAGGTAATCATCCTTTAGACTGGAACTTTCTGTACTTTTTGAGGGCTCACTGTGTCTTTCGAGTTTAGGAGAAGGAAATGGCCACGGGACCACTGAGCTCCTTGGAGAAATGTCCTTCCCGGAAACAACGTTCTCATCAACGTTTATATCTTTCGGTCTTTCTGTGGCTGCTACAATAATAATTTCTGATGCCTTGGTGATAACTGGGCTGCTCTCTTTTTCCATCTCAACTTTTGAAGTGTTGTTTATACACATGGTTATGGTATTGTCTCCCTCTAGTGGTGACAAGTTATTCTCACTTGTCTCTTTTGCACCATCTTTGCATATCTCAACAGTCTTTACAGCTGCTGTCTCCATAGTTACATGTGAAGGAGTGGTTCCTTGTTCATTGCATTGAGGAACCACATGCATTTTAGCAGCTGCAGAGCTACTATTTTGATTGATGGCATTAGGGCCGATTTCCTGTAAAGGCACTGGGGGTGGTGACTGCATACTCTTGTCTTGACATGGAGGGAGAACTTTGCTAGCAGGTTGGAAAATAGTTTCCGTTGGTGTAGTGTCTTTTAATATAGACCCAGATTCTGGTGGAAAGGCAGTCTGAGGCGATTCCGGTTTTTGTATGGCTGTGAAATCTCTTGGTGATATTGGCGATATTGAAGATTCCTCTGGTCTATGAGAAATGGGACACCACAACATGAGATCAAAATGTTGCACCTTACCAACTGGGTTATTACAGCGTGCAAAGGTTTTTCAGTAAAAATGCAATCAAGTGAAAATGACACAATCAGTTCCAGCACGGGGATACAAACAGCAGCATTAGCCCACAGTCACCGTGTTTTCTGCTAACAATTTTTGCAAGCTTGCAGCAGCATTTGCAAAATAGACAAACAAGCTGCGAAGTTGCTGTTTAGTCCTTTTTGAAAAACCACAGAGAACCCAGAATTAATACAATAGGAACCAACACAATTTGTTTCATGCTCATAGTATATACACTCACTACCTCTCAAATATTTGGGTTTGGTAAGATTTTTCGTCATTTTTTAAAAAAGACGTCACTTATGGTCACAAGGCTGCATTTATCTGATCAAAAATGATTACAATTATTACAATTTAAAATAACTTAAATATATCTTTAAATGCAATTTATTACTGTGATGGGAAAGCTGAATTTTCAGCATCATTACTCCTGTCTTCAGTGCCACATGACCCTTCAAAAACCAATCACATATGCTGATTTGGCGATCGAGAGACATTTAGTTTCTAACATCATAACTACCTTGACCCTTTCTTTTGACCAATTTAATGCATCCTTACTGATTAAAAGTACTAATAAGTACTAATTGTCTTACTTGACCCCAAACGTTTGAATGGTAGTGTGTCCCATCACTTAGAAGTCTAGTTGCCCTGTTGAAAAATCCAATATGCTGGTTGTTTTTCGACAGGGTGGCCATAGGAAACAGGACACATTAAATGCACTGCTTGATGTCAAATGGAGCCCTTGTCACAGACATATACAAATAACATAATGCATCGGCTAGAATGCTCGAATGTCAGCCAGACAAAACATTGCCAAAATCGTGCCATTCGTGTAAAGAGGGTCATAGAAATGAGAGGCAGTGCAGGCAGAGGTAATGTCCCATGCACTTACCCTCCATCCATATATAGCTCAGCAGACCACACTGTTCCTAAGTCTTCCTGACCCAGTTCAAATTCCAGCTCCTCCTGTGAACCCTCCGACTCCGCCATAGGCCTTAAATCTGCTGCTGTTATCTTGCCAGGCAGAAGTTCTTCATGTCCATTTCTTTTAGGGCTTTCGTGCATTTTTATTTCCTCAAGGTTTACCTTGGTCACCAGACCATCTGTTCCCACAGATCTGGTTTGCACCTCTTTCTTAGCAGTTATGTCTTCTTCTTCCTCCAGAGGTAAGCACGGCTCTTCATTCATCTCTTCATTTGATAGCACACTCTCAGACTTAAATTCCACCATCATGCATTTGTCATTTGTTATTGGTGTCAGTATTTGGGTTTGCTCATTTGCTGCTTTCTGTTTAGAAGGGCTTCCTTTATCTTGGGTCTTGAAACTCATAGATCCGCTTTGAGTTTCTCTGGCTGCCAGTTTCAAACACTCTACCAGGCTCATGGCTACAGGCTCGGAGGTCTGAATATCTATCTGTAACTCGCCAGAAGGTAACAAATCCTGGATTATTGATTCCTGAGGCTCATCGTCAGTTGGATGCTCAATTTTGGTGTCAGAGAAGGCCTCGGGAGGGAGAATTTCAACCACAGATCCATCGTGATCATCCAAAACTGTGTCATCTTGAACATCTGTTTCTGTTGTGCTTGGCTGCTGTAGTATTGATGTCATGGTCTCATAACTAAAGGATGAGGACATTTAAATATGATTACATTACATCATGATAAAACAAATTCTTTCTATTCGCAAAAGGGGTCTTTTTGATATGACCTCCATTCGTAAAATGGCTCTTTTTGAATCACCAGCCAGTATTCAATCCAACTGGCAAGCTCCTCCTTAAGCCAAGCTTCTCATCACTACAGGACACCACAAGTGTGGATGCAAAAACTTCCTTGCAAATGCACAATCACACCTAATAACAACCTTTCAGTTTTTCAGGAAAACTAAATTATAGCCATGCAGATGCCGTGGCAAGAGCAGCTCTGTGTAAGCCTCAGAATCATCCCACACTTACCCTTTATACAGAACACCGAAAATCCCCCGTATGAAGCCTACAGATACTTCTTCCTGGTTAGAAACGGAGTCATGTTCCTGTATGCAGGTGTCCACGTTTCTGTCTGTTCCTATTTCAAGCTTAAGGCCAAGTTCGGTTTCTGAACAGACACTGACAGTCTTCAGGTCTTCTTTAGGTCCAGCTTCAGTTGTCCAAATAGTCTCATTGCCAGTTTGCAGCATCTTATCATCTGAATCTTCCTCTTTAGTGGTCTTCTTTTTATGGTCTTCCCTCTGGCTTTCTTTGTTGGCATTTTTATCTAGTTTGTGGTGGAAATGGGACAAGGTAAAGGAATCCTCTTGCTCCTTAGGCTTGGTTTCTGATGTTTCTTTTCCATGTTGGCTGCCATGGACCAAAAAGTGTAAGTGACAAAAATATTCTTTGAAGATCAATGTTCTCTCGCTAACATCTCAACTCCCAGCAAGTAAAACAGATGCTTACTTTAAGTTCTAATAGAGATGCATTAGAAACTCAGGCAGAGTAAAAAATTTGCAATGTTGGAATATTAAAATATTAAAAATATCAATATACACAATTGATCAAACGTATGGTGAGATACGGGGTTGGTAAGATTTAAAAAATTTTTTTTTTTGAAAGAAGTCTCTTATGTTCACCAAGGCTGTATTTATTTGATCAAATACAGTAAAAACATTGTGAAATCCTTCAGAAATCATTCTAATCTGCTGATGTGGCGCTTTATAAACATTTATTTTTGTTATCAATGTTGAAAACAGTTGCTAACATCTCAACTCCCAGCAAGTAAAACAGATGCTTACTTTAAGTTTTAATAAAGATGCATTAGAAACTCAGGCAGAGTAAAAAATTTGCAATATTGGAATATTAAAATATTAAAAATATCAATATACACAATTGATCAAACGTATGGTGAGATACGGGGTTGGTAAGATTTAAAAAATTTTTTTTTTTGAAAGAAGTCTCTTATGTTCACCAAGGCTGTATTTATTTGATCAAATACAGTAAAAACATTGTGAAATCCTTCAGAAATCATTCTAATCTGCTGATGTGGCGCTTTATAAACATTTATTTTTGTTATCAATGTTGAAAACAGTTGTGCTGCTTAATATTTTGTGGAAATCATGTGGATTTTTGGATGAATAGAAAGAACAGCATTTATTTGAAATATATTTTTTGTAACATCATAAATGTCTTTACTGTCTCTTTTGATCAATTTAATGCTTCCTTGCTGAATTAAAGTAATTATTTCTTTCAAACAATCAGACAAAAAGTCTTACAGACCCCAAAGTTTTGAACAGTGGTGTAGATATGGACAAAACCATGCAAGCCCAGATAGTCTGAAGTCCACACAAAAGTCCAAGCAGTGAGGTTAACAAACCTCATGCACTTACCCCCTATCCAGAACCTCTTTTTCTGGTATCAACTTGCCCATGCTAACACCTTCATCACTTTTTTCTTTTGTTTTCTCCTCTACCGCAGCCCATAACACACTCTCTTCCTCAAATGTGACCTTTTTCTTTAAATCACTTCCACCAGACTCTGTATCCAGAGACAGGCTGGGCGTCAGAGGGCAAATTTCCTCCAGATGCACTGAAGTTCTTTTGTCCTTTTCCGTTACAGCAACAACAGGGGAGATCACAGGAAGTGGAGGCTTCATACGGACCGGTATACTGACTTTAACAGCTTCTTTTTTCTTCTCCTTGATAGTCTCAGCTTGTTGTGGTTTAAGGACAATGGAGGGTATCGGCTGTTGGGAATCTGGTTCATTTAAACTGAGATTTTCAGCATTGACTTGGATAACGGCTTTTTCTTTGCTGTGAGGTAAGGAATAGGGTTTTTCACATTTTACTTACCTTGTTTTGATCAAACATGCATTAACAAACCTTTATCCACATACATTTGCCTGCTATAACGCTGGTATGAATATGAAACCAATGTTAGCACAAGTTTATATTAAAATCATCAAAGAATGACTTGTTAAAACTCTCTCTCTTATTGACACATGAGAGTGTACAAAACCCCCAAAAGACCATTTTAACACACTTAATTGTATGAAATGTGCAAGCATGCAAGCACTTGGCCATGGCTGAACATTTGAGACCAACTGGCTCTTACCCTGTTTCTAAAGATTTTTTTGAGGACATTTCAGCTTTATTTTCTTCTTTTGGCATCTTGTCAGATGTTTTGTGCTTATTTATTTCTTCATCCCTTGCTTCATCCTCCTGATCTTTTACTTTCTCTTCCAGAGAACTCCAGATTGGCACTTCTGCTTGCGCAAGTGAATGGATCTCCACACTCTTCTGCGTTAACACTGTGTCGTCTGACTCCTTCACAATCAGCTCTGGTTTTGCTGGTTGACTGACTGCTGGAGTTTGTTCTAAGATGCATTTAAGGACTTTGGGCTCCAGGGGTTGGGGATGAATGGGAGGAAGCTCTTTAGGCAGATCTGATATTTCAGGGACACCCCTTTTAAGGCTAATGCTTGGCCTTTCAAGTGGAGTGAAGGCCATTTCATTTTGACTGAGAGAATGACAGGGAAGAGAAGAATGAGACAGGAAGAAAATTGTTACAGATAAAGAAATGAAAATAATTTAGTATTTAGTAAAAACGTTAGGAAGTTCATCTACAGTTTTTCTGGAGAATAATGTTGATGATGTAATTCTACAGAAGTGCAATTTTGTGGTTGGGGAAGAAGATATAACCTATCTATTCATATCACTGAGGCAAGTTAGTATATTTAAAATGTGTTTGTTATCTTTAAAAGTGTGTTATCTAGAACTGTTCATGACGCCAAAGTGAGTTTTATGTGCCTAAGTATTCAAATGAACACCATTAGAAGACAGATAAGGGTTTACTGAAAGAGGAAGTGACCCAAAAGAGGAAAGTTCCAGTTTGCCAGTTTGGGAGTGCAATAGTACCATGCGAGCAGCACACTCACCTTTCCTGGATAGTTAAACTCTTGTCCAGATGATCCTTATGGGACTGTTTCTCTCTCAAACTACTGTTGGATTTAGATGCAAGGACTTCTTCCACCCACACTTGGCCTTTTTCCCTGGGAAGATCTATAAGTTCTTGCTTTAGACGTGATGAGCTGGATAAAATGTTGGGGATATTGTGTTCTGTAGGGGTAACCACAGTTGAGGCAAATTTCTTGATTATCTTGTCCTCATCCGACTTGTTGAGGTCGGCACAAAGCAAAGCACCTTTCGCGTTCTGTATGCTCGGTTCCTCTTTTGGAGAAACTTCCCCTGCTGATTCAATTTTTGTGTTTTTTGGTTGCTTTAGTAAGTCATCATCGGTTATTGAAAAGGTTTGAACCAGGCTAGAATGCATTGGCTGTTCAATGGCAATTTTGAGTGGTTCTTTCTCAGGGCGTTTGCCAACAGTAACATCTTGAGAGGTTATGATCACTTTATCGAAATCGGCCACTTTAAAATCCGGCTCTTCCTCAGCCAGTGGTGGTTTCTCTGCAATAAAAACTAGATTTTTCTTCATATGAGTGGAAACTACTGATGAGGGAGCTGTTGTTGCTGGAGCTGAGAATGGGTGTGGAGGAGGGACATTCCCAGTATCCAGTTCCTCAGATCTGGAAGCGTCCACAGACTGTACTCCAGATGACTTGCCAACAGGCCCAAGACTGGGGGACAAAGATACTTGGTGTCAAAGGTGGCAAAAAATGGGGTGAGATGCCAAAGCATGGCAGTATTTGGCAAGACTAGATGCAGCATTTCCTTAGAGAGAGCAGTTTGTGCCACAGCGATGTTAGTGGCGAGAAAACAGGACAAACAAGATAGATGCAGAATTGAAGTGGTGAGGGAAAGCATTGAAGAGTTTAAACATTTGCACAGTGTAAACTGACAGCAGGTGTAGGCAAATGTCATGGTCTGTTTAAAATAGGCTTATCACAAGGTCATGCATTTCCCTATTGTTATTAACGCACTGTTTTTCTCATTAAAAGGGTTATATTTGGATTTGTGTCCATATGAAGTCCAAAACACATTCATACAGAAACACACAAAGTACTAAATGCTGAATACACCTCTGCAAATCAGACTGCAGACTAGGTGATATTACATTTTTAAAATGTAATTATATAGTTAAGATTGATGTTAGTGAATTATGCTTGATGCCAGAACAACTAATAATTTTTAAGTGCTCACTTTTTTACAGCCATGGCAGGTTTGAGCTCTTTTCTTTCAGTGCTGATGGTTTCAGGTTGATGGAGGGAGGAAGGAGATTGTTGATTAGCAATGCTAATGCTGCAGACAGTCCGAGAAGGGCGATGCTGCTCTGTTTTGGGCTCTGAGTTCTTTAGTTCTTCAGCAAGTATATCTGTTGAACATAACAGCAAACTGAATTAAAATGAGTAAAAGCTAATCAGTCTTAATCTATTTTATTTTCAATCATTTTCAGGTCATTTACTTCATTAATGACACAAGTAAAGAATACTTATTCACCTTGTAGAAACGGGTTTGTTTGATCCTCCTCTGTAAGTGTGTTGAGCTCCCTGGGTATCTCTGAAAAACAGTTGATATACAATCATTTAAAATCATTTTTATTAACGTATAATGGGTTTGATTCCGTTTTGATTATTAAATTCATCTTTAAAGACAATCCTTCATTTGAAATGACATGAGTGACCGAGGCTGTCATAGAGTTTTATGCAAATAAGCAGCAGTATCTGGAGAGAGATTTTGGACCAATGAGAGTTCCCTGTGGGTGGGACTATCCAGCACGTAAATTAAATGTAAATTAAAGCAAATAACAAAATATAGTCTAATATATAGTCTAACATAATCTAGTCAATTGTAGTGTTCGCTAGTTACAACACAACCGAACCTATTAATCATAGATGTGATTTAATCGCAAAATAAGTCTCCTAATACATCATAACTGTTAGACCTATCACCAATCAAACTAGTTCTTATTACTGCATCTTTTAATGAAAGCAATAGGCAGTTAATACCTGAGAGAGTAGAAGAAGATTGAGTTGAACAGCAGGGAGCAGCAGTGCAGGCATCAGTGGTTGACAGTGCAAGAGCAGGGGTAGAGGAAGAGACAGCTGCTGGGGTAAAAGAGGCAGGTAGGGGTTTGCTAATGGGGTAAGAGACAGGGACAGAGGGAGGTAGAGGTGGCTTGGGGAGTTGACTAGAAGTGCAAGATGTTTCGCACAGAGCTTCAAGATCTGGACTGCTCAGCAAAGGAACAGGGGTCACAGATTCATTTAGAGGGACACTGAAGAAGGGAGATGTAGAAACATCCATCGTCTGTTCATTTAGCTGTGTAGATACTGTGAGGAAAAGATGGGGAAAAGACAAAATATATACATACATGCATGTATATATTTCAGAAACATATGTTATGTTTATATATTAAATATATTTACATATAATATAAATTATATGAATATAAATATATACATGTAAATATTTTCTAAATATATACTGTATGTGTGTGTATTTATATATATACATAATAAATATACACAGTAGACACATATATTACGTAAACAAAAACTTTTATTTTGGATGCGATTAATCGTGATTAATCGTTTGACAGCACTAATATATATAAAAGAAGTAAAACAAGCAATGGAAAAAATTAATGCTGTCATTTTAAATTTTTATGATTTCTGACCAGTCTTTAGAAAGCGGGATTAAATATATTACATTTATTTTAGTAATATGACATTTAAATTTGAACAAATAATGTTCAAGATATTTTATTAATATCTTGCATTTGTTAACTGTACTTTAGTACTGCTGCTTCTACTGTTTACGTGCAGTCTGGAGGATTTCTCAATACCTGGCACAGTGCCAGCAGATGGGCGCTTAAGCATGTCAGATAGAGAGAGGGAAGAAGTTTTGGGCTCGAGGAGGGGGACAGGAGTGGGGGATACAGGGCGAGCACCGGGGACAATCTTGGGCTTAAAAACATTGGTGCGAGGTGCTCCAAAAGAATCTGAGACAGAAGTGCAATGACACAAAAAAGGACGCAGACCACGTGAAAGAAGACGATTAGTCAGAGATGTAGGAAAAGTGAGAACAAGAGAGACAGTGGCTGAGAGGAAATGAATCTGACTTCTCCAAAAGCAATCTTAAAGAGTCAAATCAGACTAACATACTGTTCCTATTAGAATTATAAGAAACAAACTTTGAATTGCATGTAATCTTTCAATGTTTAGGAATCATGAGTCTGTACCTTTCAGGAGCACAGTGGGAGGAGAGGGAGAGTGAGAGAGGAAGGGATCGGAAGGAGAGGAAGGAGAAGCCCGAGGGAGTTTGAGCAGAGGATAGTCAGAGGTCACGGGACCCTCCAGAGGGGCCTCGGAGCCTGACAGTCTTCTTTGAAAGGACACAGGAGCTGGACACAATCACAGAAGGAAAAATAGACAGAGAAACTATACAAGAAGTCCAGGCTTTGTTGAGAAATACACAGATGCATAAGCACTTTAACAATGGTAATTGTTTGTCTGGGTGAGGTTTGTAAAAGAATATTTGCATGGACCTTCTGTGAAAAAACTCATCCATGTGGATGGCAATGAATTCACACTGCAGCTAAATATAACTGTCGCTCTTCATTGGCCTTAAATGTGGTTGTCACTCTTCAAACTTTGCAAAGTGTATGTGTCCATAGTGATTTTCAGTTCTCAATTTTCTGAAAGAATTTCTTTTACGCCACATACCCACATAACCCTAGAGCCCTAGAGCACTTCATATGATCAAAGAGATTTTCAAAACAACATTTTGGCCAATTCCTCCATGTAAACACAGAGGTGATGACTCAGATGGGAATGAAATCAGAACCACATCCCTTGTGTTTGTCAAAAAAACAGTAGGTCATTTAGCCAGAAATTTGCTACTGGGTGGAGAGAGAAAAATACAGATAAAATAGCTAGCACCGGTAAATGTGGATATGACATCACTTCCATCAAGTGACATCACATTTCAAGTGAAACAATTACCATTTGGGTAGGGCTTTAAAGAAAAGTAAGACTAACAACATGCTAAAGTCATTAAAAAATACTACCTTTCAAAAGTTTGGGGTCAATAAGAATTTTTTTAATGTTTCTGAAATACGTCTCAAGTCTATGCTCACCAATACTGCATTTAAATATTGTTACAATTTAAAATAACTGTTTTGTATTTGCATATTTTGAATAAAATGTAATTTATTCATGTGATGGCATTCTAATTTGCTGATTTGCTGCTCAAGAAACAGCTGTGCTGCTAATATTTTTGAAGAAACTGTGATACAGAATTCTTTGATGAATAGAAAATAAAGCATTTATTTGAAATAGAGATATTTTGTAATATTATAAAAGTCTTTACTATTACTTTTGATCAATTAAATGCATCTTGCTGAATAAAATAATTAATTTCTTTGAAAAAATCTCACTGACCATACACTTTTTAATGGTAGTGTAGCTGAGATTGTGATTTTATTAGAAAAGAGGAACTTAAACCTCTATTTGAAGGCTGTGCACACTGTTGCCATAGAAGCAGTATAACCGTTTATACAAATAACTGTAGTCAAGTAGGAATGCCAGCTAGATACCAATGGTACAGCGACTTGCTGACTTCCAGCGGTTTAATTTAAGTCTATCTGTAATACCTGAGCCAGGGGACGGCTGGAAGATTTTGGGCAATGCTGGAGGGAGCAAACCAGAAGCATTTTGCTCTGTGTGGGAGTCAGGTGGGGCCTGTGGCTGGGAAAGGGGTGGTGGACGTGCTGGTCTGGAGCGGGCGGGTGAGGGCATGGTGCGAGGGGTTGAACTGGGTGGGGTGGGTAAAGGTGGACGTGATGTCAGGTCATGGTTATGAACAGTGCCAGGCACTGGGCGTGAGAGGACACCACCAGCAGGCCTGTCCTTACCACTGACTGAGGTTAAGATGGTGAAAAATGGTGGGAGAAGGACAGCAAAAGAAAGAAAGAGCAGAGGGAAAGGGATGAAGCAAAAGAGAAAGACAGAAGAGAGCGAAAGGTCAGGAATGTATCATGAAGGATGAGGTTACAGCTTCATAAAAGACATTTAAAGGGTTATTTCACCCCCCAAAAAATCATTATTTTCTCACCCTCATGTAATTCCAAACTTGTATGCTGTTATTTTCTGTGTAACACTAAAGGGGAAAACAGTCAAAAAAGTGGTGCTGTGCTGTTTAATATTTTTGTGGAATTTGTGATAGATTTTTTCAATTGAATGCACCCTTGCTGAATAAAATTATTAATTTCTTTTAAAAAATCTACACGGTAGTGTACATTCATTTCTTTAGTTTTGAGAATGTGAATGTAAAGCCTGAAGTATTATTTTGCCACCATTTAAGTAATGCAAATTGTCTTTCCAGTTACATTTTTGGTAATAATTATGCATTGTTCTAAAATAATCTAATTAAATCGAATCGAAACCCAATTTCAGATTTTACATGAATTCAAGAATCGTAACTGAATTGTTGTCAGAACTGAACTATTTACACCCCTACTGGCCACTATGTTTTGTTAGGAAAAGTTATATGAAAACATTTTAAAATTCCATTTGTGTTCCAGGAAAAAAAGTCAAGTGGTTTGTAAAAATAACATAATTTTTGGAGGGGTGAGCTACTCCCTTTAAATTATAATTAAGTAGTTCAATGAAATTCATGATGAAATAATGCGAGTCAAAGCAATGCAGGAACAAAGGATGAATGTGATAATCATATGCAACAAAACCACATCAGTGAAAGTTCATCATCCTGAAACATTTTAGTAAGATGTCATTTAATGGAAATAATTAATTGGACGTGGATTCATAAGAAGTTCAATTTTAAGGAAAAAGATATGAAAATGATCAGTGATGTGATTAAAATGAAAAGACTGTAAAGAAGGAATATGCAAAGAACACAGGTAAAGGTTGCTGTTACCTATTGCTGAAGGGCTCTTTAGAGATGCAGATCTCTTTTCTTGGGAGTGTGTTGGTCGAAGAGGAAGATGGGGTGCTGACAGTGAGAGAAAGAGAGAAGAAGAAGTCGTAGCATGTGAGGAAGCAAGGGTCACTATAGTTAGAGAAAATAAACATGCATCATTAGTGAATCATGCAAGTCCTGTGCAAGTGGACAGAGGAATAAGGATGCAAGATAAAGAATACAGTAATGTGTTTTATCTATACAGTGGGCTCATAAAGTCTGAGACCACTAGTGAATATGCATTTACAGTACTATTTAGCATTTGTATAATGCTTTACAATTTACAAGTTTTCATTCCAAATGATCAGCATGACACTAGCGCAGAATCTAAAATATTTATTCTTCATTAATGTTTTGGATTTCTCAGATTCCTAAAACGTTATTTCCAAGGATAAATTAGACGTTGAATCCCAGATTTTCTCGTGAACAACATGTGTTGATTGTTTTTTTTTAAATACCTGGTACTGCAGTACTGAGATTAACACCGGTACTAGATCTTTTATCCTCTTCTTCATCACTCTCATTAAAGTCATCTAGGTTCCCAATATCCGTTGGCTTTACACTCATCAGACTGGCAAGACTTTGCATGTCCTCATCCCTATGGAGGAAAAGAATTGGTCAAGAGGTACAGGTTCATGGCTTCATTGAAAATGCTGTGAAAACTTTACTGTGTGAGTAATGTATGTGTCTTCATTCCCAGTCAGTCAGCCATTTTAGAGCTTGCCAGACTGTGATATGCTTTCCATTTTCATGCCTAGGAGACACCTAAATGTCTGAGATTGAGACTTCTTTTACTTTATTCTAACCCTGTGTGTTTATTTCTGGATGATAAGTGGTATTGTATCAACCATTATGGGCTGTTTGTTTTATCTAAATCAATACATGTATAGTTTTAGAGGTTCATGAACAGGTTATTTGATAGATGTTCTAATGGATATTAGACACAAAATTCTATTGCATTACTTTATGCTAATGCTCTACAATTACGCTCAAAGCTCAAATGGCATTATTTTAGATGCTCAGGCTGTGATTTGAGAGTTCGCTGTATTGTTTTGGAAAATTCTGCTCTGCTTCTTGACCTGCACATGTCAGGGAATAAACCCTCCCCAGTGTTGAACAGCAAACCCCTGACCGGGCAGGCAGCCACTTGTCTTTTTAGATTCAAAATGCACTTTGCACTCCAAATATTTGTAACTGAAATCAAGTTTCGGTGCAGGCACAAAATTAAGCTTGCTGTGGTCAAATTAACAAATTATTCAATCTAGATAATTAAACACCACATGAAAAGTGCTATAATAACTTCTTGAAAAAGAGCTCCATGTGGATGACTCACGTAGCTTTCCCCTCTTTGAGGAACACACAGGATAAGGAGAGCTTCAGCGTGGCCTCCACCACCTTAACCGACAGAGGCTTCATTTTGAGCATCAGGTCCGTCTGTGAGTGTGTGGCACTGGCAAACTTCTTCATGTTCAAGTCCACAGACGCCAGAACTTTCCGACTGCCCTTTGCTGTCTCCTGTAGAACATCAGAGAAGGTCAATGCAGTTTAATTGAACTAGTAGAATAAACATACTTTATTCTTTTCTTTTAACACATTGTGTTTTTTGTTTCATTTTTACAGTAAAATAATAATAATTTCAAATAATTTAAAGAATTGTTTTACATAAATCATATATGTATTATTAATGAAAACATTCAAAGAAATGTCACCTGAATTTGAATAAACTCACATTCTCAATGAAAAATGTCCACTCTTTGTCTTCAAACTCATCTGCATGTGGGTCCTGTCAAACAAAACCATGATTAAAATGTACTGACAAAAATTATAGTTCAGCATCTATCAGTTAGTATCCTTAACAAGCTGTGTATTGCATAAATATTTAATTAATGCAATATACTCTATATATTGTATAGCTAATAATAAACTGTGATAGGTGTCCCACCCTGTAGAGTGTGACGGTAATGTCCACATTCTCAGGTACAGGCCACACCACCATTCCCCTGTAGGGGTTTTTGATGCCTGGCTGCCATGAATGAAGCTGATGAGAAAATAAAAGATAATGTCAGTCATGATAATCCATATTGGACAGCAGTTGTAACTAGGCATGGGCCGATTACCGGTTTCAAGGTATACCGCAATTTGAAAATTTCACGGTTTCAAAACCGCTAATATTTTCCGTTATACCGTTCCTGCGGTATGCTTTGTTTTTCATGTCTCCTCAAAGACTGAAAGTGTAGGAATCCCTCAGGTTGAGTGCAGTGTAGAGAGTAACACGATCCTCCTCCTCCTGTTGGTGCGAGCCAGCGGTAAGTCACGTGTGTGTAGGATGGACGAAATTAAGGAGCTGCCCCCGGAACTTACGCGATCGGCAACCAGACGTTTTTTGTGTTATTGCAAGTCGTCTCTGTTCTGGACTTGCACAAACTGTGTTGCAATGCTATAGTTTTCCAAAATGTAATTTATGTGAAAATATGAAGTCTGTAAAAGCCCGTTAACACAGGCCAGACGCTGAAGACGGACGCACAGAGAAAAATACTGTAGCAGGCAGATCACTCACTGTTCATGATGCACAAACTATTGGAAGAAAATCCTCAATATTGATTTGGGGGTTTATATGAATGTGCTTCTGAGGGTAACTGACTGTCATAAACCCCCAAATCAATATTGAGGATTTTCTTCCAATAGTTCGTGCATGGGTTATTATTAAATCAAATTATGTATATGAAATTATATAACTAAATGATATGAAATTATATAAATGATATGTATATGAATTATATAACTAAAATTAAATAACTGTAATTACAGATTTAGGTTAATTAAAGATGTCAGTCTTTATTTTTCTTCTTTTTAGGAAAAAAAAAAAAAAAAACTTATACTCTTCCTAATATTCTGTATGTTGCTCAAAAACAAAATATATTGTGTTCAGCGGAAAATTTTTTTTTTTTTTTTACCCAGTCATTTAAAAGTAACACATTTTAGAGCTGTAATAACAATACCGTGACACCGTGATATTTTTTTTGCGTAAGGTTATCATACCGTCAAAATCTCATACCGGCCCATGCCTAGTTGTAATCATTGTAAGCACTTGTAAATCATTGTAAATAACATATTGTTATAATGATCATTTAAAATGTCAGTACACTCTTCTGACTGAAAACTTCCTGGACATAGTCATAAACTAAATTACACCAGCTTTCAAACACTTGCAAATAATTTTATTTTTTTCCAGATAAAATTATCTGGAAAAAAAAAACTGGATTAAATTGGATTCATTAATTAAAACATTAATTAATCTAAAATAATATTAGTCAAAATATTTTATTTGACAATTACCTTCGAACAAATGCGTCTGTTCCTTCGTGTCCACACCACTCTCAGTTTGTCTGGTTGCCTATAAAATTATTTAAAAAGAGAGTTGAGTGGGAGCTTACAAGTTCAATGATAGTCCTTTAATTACTATTGATGAAGACGCCTACAGTGACTCTTTCTGTCTGTGCTTAAAATATCTGGATATAAATATAAATCCTATACAAACTGATCTTGAAAGAGCCACTGTGGCATTTCTGGTGTGTGTGTCTCCAAAAAGCTACAGGCAGTGTAACGGATCTTGTGATCTTGTCTCCCAGTGTTACCCCAAGGCAGAAAGGAATCAATAAATGCTGCCAACTGTTTCAAACCCCACACAAAACAAGAGCACATGATGCAAGGTCTTGCATACAAGATAAATCCAAACTAGAGAAACTTCTTGTTCACAAACAAGCACACAAGAACAAATAATCGATTGAGAAACTTTCTGTCTTGCTAGATAACCAAGTTTTAATTTGGTGTCTACTGGAACACGTGGAATCTATTACTTTTACTGCCCTGCATTGCTACCTATGCTATGTAAAAACGTAAAAGAAACAAAGATTTTAAAGAGTTCCTGTCTGTTTATCGAGGGCACAGCACCATGCAGACCTAGACAAGCTTTATATCTGATATCCAGAACATTATGATGATATACAATATTGCCAGCAAAAATGCAAATCAATGTGCAGCTTAAAACAAATAAATGGAAATCGCCTTTTCCAGGTTTGCACTTTATATGTATGCATTTGGTTCCTAAATAAACTTGCCCTTTAATAGTGAATTGTTCTGAAGTGAGCCCATTGTACACTTCTGAGCTGTTCAGTCAGTGTCATGCTCGCTGCATTAAGAATTGGAGGAAACTCAGCAGGGTCACATGACCAAGCTGAGTTTGGCTCACAGCACAAGGGGTGTTGGCCTCTGATCTCCAAACTACTAAGTCTCACTGTGTTTACAAACAGCTGTTCACATTTAATAATGGCAGCTTATTATTTTGTGATATAAAAGCTGTCATTAAGCTTACACAAACACTGAAGGAAACAAAAAACAATTTTTACATTATATATAAAAGTTTGGGGGTATATAAATTTTTTTTTTTTAAATGTTTTTGAAAGAAGTCTCTTATGCTGACCAAAGCGGCATTTAATCAAAAAAACGGTAAAAACAGTAATATTGCTAAATATTATTTCAATTTAAATGTTTTCTATTTTAATAAACTTTAAAAGCAGATTTTTTTTCAGCAGCCATTTCTTCAGTCTTTAGTGTCACATGATCCTTTAGAAATCATTCAATATGCTGATTTGATGCTCAAGAAACATTTCTTATTATATTCACAGTTGAAAACACCTTCATATTTTCGTGGAAACCATGAGCATTATTTCAGGAGTTCAAATGAACAGCATTTATTTGAATGAAAAATATTTTGTAACATTATAAACATCTTTAGTGTCACTTTTGAGCAATTTAATGCATCCTTGCTTAACAAAAGTATTCATGTCTTTCAAAAAATAAAAAATAAACCGAAATAATAATAATAAATTGCACCGACTTTCAAACGGTGTATTTACTCTCTCATGATGTTCCATTTTCTACATGAAATACAAAATTATGTTTCACTCTGTTCATCACACAAAGCTTCTACATAGCTTCAGAACATTTGAAATATAGCATATGAGTCACATGAACCACTTTTATGATACTTTTATGGTGCTTTTGCTTCCGTTTTAAAGTCCCTGTTCATTCTAATTGCATGGAAACTCATGGCCAGTACATGAATACAGATTTCTACTTTATCATTTCATAAAAGAAAGTCAAACAGGTTTAACAGGGAACAATAAATAGTATCCCTTTAAACACATCAAAATGATTCTTAATGAATTGGACCCATATGTAAATGTCATAGTCCTCCAGTGATGTTCACACTGATGTTTGCAAAGGTAAACTTAAAGGGTTTGTTCACCCAAAAATGAAAATTAGGCTGGGTTTTACTCACCCCCGATGCATCCTAGGTGTATATGACTTTCTTCTTTCAGACGAATCCAGTCGGAGTTATATTAAAAATGGTCTTTGATCTTTCAAGCTCTATCGTTGCACTCAGCGGGTGTTGCATTGCTTCAGTCCAAAAGACCTGAAATAGTGTCAGCAGCAGCATGAACCGCTACACAAAGAGAAGCAAGACCCAGCTCTTACTCAGGTTACAGCTAGTAATAGCAACAGGGCAGAACGGTCTAAAAGGATAAATTAGGAGGAGAAGAGAGGGCCGTGGGTAGAGCACGGATGGACGTAAAAATAGACTGCCAGCCTGGTTGGAAAATTTATTTTCTTTCTAAAATGCAGTCCTTATTTTTTCATGTCACTTTGACACGTGAAACAAATGTCACAGATAAACACACACGTGCTCACACACACAGTTCAAGTTATATTACCCCATCAGAAGCTCAACCGCTGTGTCATCTTTCAGCTGTCTAATATCTCCAGCTCACACCCTTCTCAGCTATGGCAAAACATCAACAGACTTTGACCCACTGGCAGTATATGAAAATCACAGCTATACTGTAAATCATCTCACAAGATGATTCGCACAAGATCTGACGTGTTCACAGAAATGCATATTCTTTCGTTCCTTTCTCCTTTTGAAACACTCTAACTGCTCTATTGCTTTTAAAAAGTCGTACTACAATACACATGTTTAGGTCAGCAAAAGAAACCGTGAAGCTGTGGCAAAGATACAGGACGTTCTTTCCTCATAGTGTTGCAAGAGGATCTAGGACTTTCCACATCAGCCGAAAGCTCATTAGGCGATAACAACAATTCCAACTGCTCAGGTTTACTATTAACTTAACCTTTCTTTCCAACAACAATGTTGAAAGGTTGAATATGTATTAGTATTAAATAATAAAGAATGCATAATATATAGAATTTAAAATTGCTGAAATAGAGATCATTTACATCACCAGTAAAATGATGCAGGCTATCTATGATGGAGATAAATCTCAGATAGTGCTTAACACTAATAGGCAAAAATTACAATGAGTGTTTCAGTTTCTCCTACAGGCAGATGACAAGCCATTGCATAACGGAGGGTTGCTTCATTTACCAGGCCATGACTTGTTCAGAGAATAATGCCAATAGTCAATATCACCAAAATGATGAAAACCTCGCTCTTGTGCACTGTGAAATATGTATATTATTGTGTATATTGTATATATTGTGTGTACACTGTTTATAGTGGGTATTCTGTATTTTATATTGTCTCATACTGTCGGTCACTACATAACTGCAATGTTGGTGACCGTCTGACCGATGTATCCAAGATTTCCACTCACTGTAGCACTTGTGTATATGGTTTACTAACGATAAAGTGATTTGATTTAAACACACACCTTTTTGTTTGCAGTGTACTTGTGATTGCAAAACAATGTCTTTCTCAAATCCAATCAGACTGAATTTCTTCTGATCAGGATAATGATCTGATATTCTTCTGATGAATTTCTTCTGATCAGTCTTTGATCATAGATAAGGACAGATAGATAAAGACACGTGTCGATGAATGTGAGGAAAGAAACACTCCCTGTTAGTGTCAACAGCTGTCTCTTGATCAAGACAGGATAGAGACAGCAATAATTCAATTACTGAATTCTCTCATCTTAACATTGTGTTTACATGGAAAGTATGAACTTTTAGGGGGAAGAATGAAATTGAAATTGAACTGAAAATGAAAATAAATTAAATATATTGCATAAAACATCATTTGACTTGTAACGTGTTAAAAACAGCAGTAAAGTATTTTATGAAGTATGTCATGTTCCTGGCTATTTAAGGGTGAAGTCATGAGCAAAGCTCTTTAAAGCTCTCACATATAATAGGCTACATGAATAAAACATAACCGAACAATGACAACACCTAAACAGAAAGGAAAAGCAATACCACCCAGTTTAAAACACTGAAACAATATATAGATGCCGTCGACACAATAAACAGTTTATAGGAGTCAGGTAAATAAAACTCAAAAGAAGCAGCAGCACTTAATTTGCTTATAAGTGAGTATGATGGATGTTATTAATATCTAAAGTGTTGACAGCACGAGTGATGGGAGGCGGAAGTGGGGGTGTGTTTCTGTCAACGTTCTCCACTATATTTCAAAAAACATTCCTAAAATCGACTGCTGTGTTAATTGTTCTATTCACAATCATTTACAAAAACAGCGCTACAGTAAAATAAGATACAGTGTGTGCGCATGGTGCCGTTTCAGTCAGAAGAACCGCCCTTCAGCACTGCGTATTTAGGAAGCACACGCGCTATAACGGAAAATAAATCATAACTTACCATTTCTTTGTACATTCCAGAACAAGTTCTTGATACGAAGCCACGAACTGAAATTTAGTGGCTTTTTTGCCAACTCTTTGTAATCTTTTCCACACTGAAGTCATTCTTCTGTAGAAAATGCAGTATCCGCGAATGAAGTCAGGCGCATGGAAATTGTATTTTTACAGTCCCGCCAGTGGACAAAAAGTAAAAAGTCCTCAAATAGATGGCTGTCAAGTGGCTTGTGAAGTGAAATGTTCCTGCTGAAGAGCACGAGCTGCACCTCATGAGGCTCAGTACCACCGAACTGTCGCCATCGAGTAAAGACCATTTACGGGAAACTACTGCATCACGTTACACACCAGAGCGAGAGAATCTCTGTGTATTGCAATTAGTTGCCTTGGTGCCAAAAAACAACATGTGTGCGTAAAGAATCTAGAGACTTAATCGGTTTTATGTTATGGAGCTTCACGCGATACGAAATGCTTCTAAAAAGCAGCTGTCTGACAGTGAACTGATGAAAGTGGATGTAGAAGTGCAAGAATAGGTGGGAAGTGTTATGCAAACACGCCTATGATGCAGCAGTATGCAAAACCTCCCTCATTGTATTCAGTACAATACTAAAGGTACTGTTGACATGACAGGTCAGGGGTTACATCCAGTCAGCTAGGGGTCAAAAGAGGACGCACTGTATAATTATGCATCAAAATAATTATCATATTTTGGTTGCAAAATTACAGATAGAGTTAAAAAGTTAAATTTCGGGAAAAGCAGCTTAAAACAAGCTCAATTATTGGGGAATTATTTGCAATACAGTTGCTAATAACTTTTGATCAGTAGGTGGCACTACGAAATAAACGCTCTTTGTTGGGTTTGCAAAAGTAGTAAAATCTAAATGGTGGATTTGTAAAATGCCCAATAAAAATGAGTAAAATTGCTCTATGTGACTCTAGAACAAAATAATCCCAAGGTATGAGCATATTTATCTTATATGTATATTTATATTCATATTAAGGTTACAATGACAATCCGATGAACGTAACCTTTAAACATATGGTTCTATGGACTACCATAGACTTTTGTGCAATAGGAAAAATGCTTCAAACAAAAACATTATGCACCTTCAGTGCTTGGGCCCTGTGTTCAGGGTATTTATGATCTGGAGCAGTAACGCGGGGCCGTCCAATCCTTGATCACAGTGGGTATTTTTAGTGGACATTGGCATGGGGATTTTTCAAGTTAGACAGGATCTATTTTAAATGAATGAGAGCGAGGGATAAATGGACAGAAGCAGCTGGAGGGATGGATGGAGTGGTGCCGCTTGTGTGGGTTATATGGGGGGAGTACAAACGTTTGGCTCAGCTGATGACCTAGAATCCAAATCGGTGACCCCCTTAGTCATATTCCTGTGACACTAACCTCTTCCTGTCTGGTGTTGCCACTCACTGCTAACCCCATTATAATTATGTATTTATAAAAACATTATATAACATATATTCAAATATATTAAATATAAAATATTTTATAAATACAAAAACCCTTTGATGCTATATATTATACCTTATAGGGCATTTCAGAAAAGCTCAGCACAGGTGTTTATTGACATGTGGAACTAACTAGCAGTGTTTTGTTTCGAGATTTGTTGAATACAGTTTGCAGTCTAATTTCAGGTGTGCAAATATAAGCTAGCTCATGTAAAACTTACAAACTCGACTGGGAAACAGTGACTATGAGTTTCCAAATTAGGCCCCTCCCTTCACTTCACATCACAGGCTGAGTTTGTATCCGGGTAAGACATGAGCTCACTCTTAATACATGCTTACTCACTAGGTGGATCAAGAAATGCCTCATCCCTTATAAAGACGTGCCACACCACCTTAGGGTACACAAGGCATAAAGAAACAAGAGCCTCATTTATTACTGAAAAACATGATGATGAAATACTGTTCAACTACAACAACATACACTATAGGCCTGCTGTTCAAAAGTTTGAAAAAGTTTGGAATTTGAAAGAAATTAAAAGTTTTATTCAAAACTTTATAAAAAAAAGTGAGCATAAAGACATTTATAATGCTACTGAAGTTTCTGAAAAATACTGAACATTCTGTTCATCAAAGAATGCTGAAAAAAATCTTTCACAGTTTACAAAAATAGTCAGCAGCACAAATGATTTCACCAATAATAACAAATGTTTCTTGAGCAGCAAATCAGTATATTAGAATGATTTCTGAAGGATCATGTGACACTGAAGAGTGGAGTGATGATGCTGAAAATTCAGCTTTGCTTCACAGGAATAAATAATATTTTTAAATATAGTAAAATACAAAATTTATTTTACAATATTACTGTTTACACTGTATTTTTAATCAAATTAATGCAGCATTGGTGAGCAAAAGAGACTTATTTCAGAAAAAATAAAAAAATCTTACTCCAGACTTTCTAGTAGTGTAACTCAGTTCCAAAAAAGGGTAACAGTCTTTCAAACCCTAATAAATTAACTTTAGAAAGATGAAAATGGCTTTTAAAAATGTTTAGTTAAAAAACAGAGTATAAAAAGTACCGGTATAATTTCTGCCATAATATTTTTCAAAGGGCAGAAAATGCATCTTTTTGTGTTATTAATATGTGATTGAAAAGATACATGACCTTTAGTTTGAGTTTACTTTTAACAGACATACCACGTATCCAACAATATCTTGTACATCTGGGTTGTATTTATAGAGGCATTGGAGAGCTTTCTAGAGGAATGCCACATCCTTCACCACTTAATGACTCCATCATACCAAATATGTGCACTTTATCACACTGTAAGAAAGATGGTCTCACTGAAGAAACAGTATGCAATGTGGAAAGTAGAGTGGGAGTGTTTCAATGAGACAAGAGCAAGGTTTGACACTGGGGCTTGTGGCATAATGACAAATGCTCAGCACTGAACAACTGCCCAGAGCTTTGGTCCCTGTGTCTACCTGCAAAGACTCAAACAGGAGACCATTTAGTCAAGAGCACCAGACGGAAACATTTAATAACCGTCTGCTTTTCTTTGGAGGACACACTCTGACAGCAGCTGCAGTGAGCATGGAGATCCTGACCTCCCCGAATGGCAGAGTTTAGACATTGTGGTTCATCCACCTGCTCATATTCAATAATAAATGTCAGAGTTTCAACCAAGGTTATGGTACAGTATATGGCATTGAGTTACACAATTAGTAAACTAATATATGCATACATACATACAGACTTGAAAAAATCATTTCAGGTGCACAAATATCAGCTAGCAGAAAATTTAGTAAAAAGTATATAAATTGAATTAAACAAAACTTTAAATTGCTATAGTTCATGTTAAAATTGCTATAGTATGTTGCTATATATTAATTGCTCTAGACTTATATATAAACTTGATCAAACCTAAAGCACAGTGTAATGACAGGCCATGCAGTCACTGCTGCTGTAATTATAGTAGTGATGGGAAAAGTTTTTATTAATGCCTGGCCTGTGTCTGAGCTTGTTCCCCCCCCCCTCTCTCTAATGCAAAAGAAGCTAGCAGTATTACCTAATAAGCACAAGATAGCTAGAACCATTTGTTTATACTTGCGGAGTAATGAGAGAGTGGTTCAGAAAGATCTCAACAAGCCTCAGTCCAAACATTCAAATTTAGAATAATTGTTTTAATCAGATGGCATGCATCTGGTATGACTCAAAGATAAACATTAAAGGAGAATAATCTAGCAATCTTCTTTCGCGCTAAACGGTACCAAGACAAAGAAGAGGGCAAATGTTTCCAAAAACAGTTATTTTGTTTACTCCAATACTCCAGGCGTCATGACTCAAAACAACATCCATTTAGAAAGTTTAGAAAGGAAATGAGTGCCACCTAATGGCTGATTTGATCATATCTGCACTGGACAGCTGTTTTGAACATCTTGAGCACTTATTTTGAGACAGCAAAATTTTTATTGTTTTATTTATTTTGTACAGAAAAGCACATTCTGTATTGTGTTTAACTTACTAATGAAAGACAGAGGTGTAAAAAAATTATATTTCATAATAAAATAAACAGTATCGAAAATGCACGCAAGTGATAGAGAAAATAGAGTGATAAGTGATAATATACATCTGATGAATCTACATAATATAATGAAATTGTGACCACAAAAGAGAATAGTATATAAGGCATGTCTTTTTTTTATGTATACACCCTTTACCATATGTAGAAAAACATCCTTGACCACACTGTTTCTGGCTACAACATCCTCTTCCTGTCAACCCTCATCCGGTCTTTATGACTTCACAGGCAGTGAAAAGGCAGTTTTTCATAGTTCCCTTGAAACAACCTTACAATCACCATTGTAATAGTATCCAACAAAAATAAAGGCCTTGTTTCATATTAATGCTTACAGAATCCATACTGAGAGCCGTACTGTAGCTGAGAGAGCACATGCTTCAGTTAAATGGGGATGTGGAAGGAGTCTTTGATCCACTGGTCTCGAGAGTTCTGAGTGGGCTGAGGAAGGGACAACAGCGTCTCCCCACTCTCTCTTTCATGTTCATCTTCATCTTCCTCCTCTTCATCTTCAGAATAACCATTTTCGGTGTTGAAGGAACTCTCACACAGGGAAGAAGAGATGTCCTGGAAAACTCCTTTGTATTCCTGTATGGACTCATATAGAGACCACAACTGGCACAGCAGCGACATGTCTAACTGTCGAAGTCCAACCTGCGAAAGACAAGAACACAAGCTATGTTGGATTTCAAATATATAATTTAATGATCACCATTAAAATACAAAAATGTATATTGAAAAAAATAAAAAAATGTTACTGAATGTTTTATTTTTATTTATTTAAAATAAAACTGACAATGAAACGGTTAGTGAAAACATTAATCAAATTGTTTTAATTACTTTATTAAACTATTCAAAATGCAGTTAAAATGTCAGTACAGAAATGCTTTCACACAAAAGATTATTTTACATGTTTGTAAGGTCTGATTTTAATTTTATAAATAAATATTTTTTGTTTGTTTGTTGAGCTCAAGTCAAAATTCCTATGGTGTAACTGACCAGAGGAAAGGAAAAAAAAAAATAGGTCTAAGCAAAAGGCTGAAATTCTTTATTTAAAAAAATAAATAAATTAATATATATATACTATTTGCACTATTATTATTTCTTTTTTTAAGTAGACAATTTAGTTTAAATATATCATATCAAATCAAGGTCAAAGCCATTACGTTTTCTTGTTTTATTTAGGTCAAAAGGAGTGACTCTAAAAAAAATGTATATTCATAAAGAATATTTAGGCTACATTGAAAAATGTATGCAAATACAAAGCATACTTTGGCAGATATTTTAAATGCACTTTTTATCATTTCTCACATGTATTTGTCATTGATCCATAAATAGTTGCCCATTTAGCACAAACTGAGCGAAGATCAGAGTGGCACCGAGTCAGGCGTGGTCTCGGACTCACCATCTCTTTGCGCAGCACGGCCAGCGCTGCGTCAAGGCTCGCTGGTTTACTGCGGACAAGACAGTCGCTCACTCTGGACTTGCTGATGTCCGCCTGGATGCGCGTCCTCTTGCTATAGACCTTCTCAATGTCCCTCCAGGATCCTCCGCTCGAGTTCAGGATACCGCTCAGTCCTTTAGGTAACGGAGGCAAGCCTTCAATAGAACAGACGCTTCCAGCCTGACAATCCGCTGGACTGGACTGAAACCCGTTCATTTCCGATTCCACTGTTTTCGCTTTTAAAATTAAAACCTGGTTTTAATCTTTTCTATGCCCGGTGTTGTTATTTTGTTCATTTATTTTTACCACCATGAAAAATATCCAACTGAGATTAAATACACTGTCTTTCTTTAAAAAAAAATGCTACGGAAGGTGAGCGCGCACGAATGACCTTAAGCTGCAACCAACTGTCACGTCCAAAAACTAATTTCCGGAAAAGTGATATTCTGTGCGCAATCCTTCATATATACGTTAACCACTGGTTTACACTGACTGTAACTAGTAGCTCGTTTACAAGGCAACAGAAAATTATTTCGCTCTAATAAACTCTTTGACGATCTCTGTTCTTTCAGGAGGTACTTGATTTTACGCTCTTCCTTATTTGCATTTCGTCGTAAAGCAGCGAATAAAACTAATTCTGCAGATAAAAACAAATTCCTACCCTTAGATACAAGCAAAAACTGGACAGGAAACGCTGGACAGGAGATCAAGGAGCCCCGCTTTGTTTTCGTTTAACGTTTTCTTTTGTCTTGTAGCCTACTGTACAGCTAAACCTCGCCCACTGCATCTCTCCGCCCAGAGCTGCGTTCTGCCACAGCGAGGCGCTGTTTCTCATTTACAGCAGCATAAACTGCTGAAGCTGGTCGCCTTCTTTCTTTCTTTTGATGTAGTTTCTTGAGTCTAAAAGACTTTTCAATTGCTTCATCTGAGCCTCAACTTTGCTTTGGGAGGAAAAATGTATAATCTAAGGGGTCACGGGATGAGTTATTGCATTTAAAGATGACAGTATAAAGGAGTGGAAAAATGCAAGGTCTAAAGACACTAAACACCACTTTTTTTTTTTTTTTAGATATAAATAAACCTGAGAGATCAACCTGCACTTGCAAGGGAAAAGTCTGAATTGTGAGATAAAAAGTAGCAATTCACTTTTTTATTTTTCATTCTGTGGCAGAAACAAAAAAAGAGAGAATTGCTAGATGCAAACTGAAAAATTCAGAGTAAAAAAGTCAAAATTATGAGATGTAAACTAAGAATTTAGAGAAAAAAAGACTGAATTGTGAGATCAACTCACAATTACCTTTTTTTCCTGTAAAGGAAACATGCCACAAAACGCACTGCTGTGGAATGCAAAGGTTCTCTGTGATAGGAGAACACATTTGTGCATTTAAAAATGTGATATATGGGAATTGGAATGTGGGAGAAAAGCATTACACTGCAAAAACATGGGAAAACGATGGAAATCGGGCAGTGTAATAAAAAAATGCAAGGTCTAGAAATACTTTCAAGCTGAACTTACTTTGCATCTTGTGTGAGATGCAGCAAAAGGCACATATGCAATGATCGCTGAAAAAGCAACAGCAAAGCAGTGCAGTGAAATGCAAAATGCATTCTGTGTGAATGTCCCCTAACTGTACCAAACTTACAATGCTGTTATTTGTTACCAAGACAACACTAATAGCATCTAAATGGATCTGTTGCAGCTTTGAAACACTTCTCTCTGCCACTGTAATTGATCTAACATTGTCACAACACTTAAGTCAGTGCTTTCAATAATAATAATATTATGAGTTCATAAAGCAACGGAAAGAAAGTTAAAACTTGTAACTCGAACACAAACAAATCAAGGAAAAAGAAACCAGCCTTTGCAGCTCAAGCAATGTATTTCAACACACGACACAGTCACATACTCAGCTGCTTTAGAACAAACATAAACACAACCGAAACGCTCTGTTGAGTATGTTACTATATATATATGTATTAGTGCTGTTTGTATTTCCTTATGTGTGTGTGTGTGCTGTTACAGCTCCGTCTGTGCTTCAGTCTTATGAGAGCTGCAGTTCTTTCAAGCTGCGCAGGGATTCGGCACAGCCTCGGATCAGACTGCAGAGCTGGATGCTGGCCTCCACTGACCCCGAGTGCTGGAGCTCCTGTGTGGCCCATCTGAGTTTATGTAGCACTGCCTCCTCTGCACTTGACAAGGCTGGGTGGTGGAGGAGGGTGTTGCCCACGGGCCCTAAAGGAGGTGCAGTCTGGGGAGCAGGGGTGGCTGGTGGCAGGAAGTTGGAGCTGGCGGTGGGGACAGAAAGAGGGGTGGACTGTATGGCGGGAGGGGGACCTCTCAGTCCAGACGCGGCCCCCTCGCAGTGCTCCGGCCGGGGCTGGCCCGTGATGGAGAGAGGGGGTTCGCTGGATGAGGCACCGTTAGATTCAGGGAGAGGCTGAGTCGCAAGCTGACGCTCTCGTACCTGTGACAAGGCTGCCTGGGCGTTTAAAGCTGAAAGAGAAATTGAACAAGTCAACAGAGATACACAAGACTGTACATACATAAAAAAATTCAAAGGCTGCATTTAAACGTACCTGGGTTGTCCTTGTCAATATCGGAGTCCAGCTCTTGACAAGCAACACAGTAATTTTTCTTCTGCTTATCTTGCAGCAGAATTGTCTGCAAATATATAGGACATTCCTTCCCTCATACACGCTTCAATCAATAATAAATATTAATTAAATACTAGCTATTATAATTCCAGTGGGGTCCTGTTTAATCTTAACCCCATTTTTTTGTATTTCATACCGTTTAATACAATGCTGTGATGCTTTAATTTGTAGCTGTTGAATTTCATTTATAGTATACATTGTCACATAAAAACACAAAAAATGACTAAAATGTATGTGTATTTATATATATATATATATATTTTTTTTCTATTTTAATATATTTTGAAACATGCTTTATTTCTGTGAATTAATGCTTAGCATTATTACTCCAGTCGTCAGTGTCACATGATAATTTAGAAATTATTCAAATATGCCAATTTGGTGCTCAGTATAATTAATATCTTATTATCATCAGTATGGAAAACGCTTGTGCTGTTTAACATTTTTGTGGAAACTGTGACTTTTTCAGGATTCTTTGATGAATAGAAAGTTCAAAGACCAGCATTTATATAAAAAACACTATACATGTCTTAACTGTCACTTTTGGTCAGTTTAATGCATCCTTTTTCTTTAAAAAATAAATATGTAAAATCTTACTGACCCTCTTTTGAAAGGTACTGTAAGGACGTATCTATTAGGGCTGCACAATTATGACAAAAATCATAATTGTCGATTTTTCCCTTAAAATTGTAATTGCGATTATTAATTACGATTACCACAATTTACATTGACTGAATGATGTTTATACCATTGTTTGAAGTAACTGCATGCCATATTTTTATATAAAAATAAACGAGCTGAAAACACTATATGAAAAACTTTTATTGCTTATATAAGCCTCAAATGTCAACTATATTGGATTTGTTTCTTCTTTAAATAAAAAAAAAAGTAAAAATTAGCATGGTATTATAATGTTATACTAAAACTAAAAGTAAAACAATGGAAAAACCTTAAGATAACCTGTAGAAAGAAAAAAAACCCACATCTTAAGCACTCAGAATAACATAAGTGGACTTTGAATGATTAATTGCCACTTTGAACGATTATGTATTTGTGGCATCCGTAATTGTAATCGCGATTAGAAATACGATTAATTGTGCAGCCCTACTATCTATCATTATTGGCCATAATTTACAATCTACAGATACCTTACTGTACATTTAGTTATTAC